AAAATGGTAATTCTGTGTAAATTTATAGCCTAAAGGATGCAGACATAACTTAAAAAAATATATAGAAAAATCTTTTTTTCCAATGAAACATTAATTGAAAACCCTACAAGAGTATATTTCTTAAAAAAAAAATCTTAGAAAAGTTAAAAAAATCCTGATTTTTCTCAGATTTATTAAATTGGTGGAACGTAGTTGAAAAAATAAAAACCTCGTTTTCGACCGTTTTTTTTGCATTTTTTTCACATACTTGTGTTATATTAATGTCTAATTTGCCAAAAAACATTTTTTTTTCTTTGTTATAATTCTGAGTACAACGAATCGTTATCGATTATTTGGAGCCAGTAATTAGGAAGAATATTTGTATATGCGTACTTGTTCCCATTCAGTATTTTAATCCATCACTTACATGAATACTAGCTAATCCAGCCACCCGTTACTGTGGCTCATTAGTTCTAATACGTTTTGAATATTAAACTAAAATTCATTAATAAAGTTAAAAACGTTTTAGCCAGGGGAATAAGAATGGAATGCTACGATGAATTTTAATAATCTATTTAATTATAAGTGCTGATTTCTACTTAGCCCGTCTTTTACTAACACAAATAGATTTGATGGTTTTCCCACACGTGAGCAGGCGACATGTAGTTAGGGAGCTGACGCACAATAGTAATTTTAGTAATTTAGGGTATTTTTGTTTCGTGATATACAGTGTGTAACAAAAGTAAGTGCCGAACTTTGGAGGGTGTAAACTAGATATAATAAACAATCGTAATGTGAGTTCAGTAGCGTGCTGTCTGCGACACGAGTTTCGTACGACTCCCATTTCGAAGTAATCGTACAGGTTGTAGTGTATGTAGCCCTAATCAGTCGACGAGTTTGTTTAGTTTTTTGTCGTGCTCCTCTTTTTTTCTTCTGAGGTAAGAATACTTCTAAAGATAATTAATAATTGTTTTTTTATTGATTTTTATTGATATGTTGTTGTTGTAGTATTACAGAGTGAAAAAGGATATCGAAATGCTTCTCCTTTTCTAAATTTCTTTTTTTTGTAATTTTTACTTTTACATTCTTCCTCTTCTTCTAAAGCTAACGGTAGTATAGCTAAATCTGTTTAGAGTGAAATTAGAAAACATATTCGGACTTTTCGGCATACCATACATTTTACAAGAGTTATGAGTGAACTGCCGCGCGAGTAGTACGCAGCTCGTTACAGTGTGACTTCGACGTCTACGGAACGAGAAACGTACGAACACTTGTGTTAATGTGTGCCACACTTTAAACGGCAACTAGAGTTTGGCTATTAACATAAATATTCTGAATCACACTTAATCTAATCTAACAAATAAACAGTACGTGAGAAAAAAATACAAAACAAATGCTACATTGATGCTAGCTACTAATCACTAGTTGATTCTAGTGCAGAGCCGGGCAAACTCGGATCTTTTGCATCCCGAGTGATCCTCAAGGTTAACCAAATAAATCCCCATTGATCCTGCGAGTGCGAGTGAGATGATTCTTTCCTTTTCTTATCCCTTCCATTTCGTAGATGAGTCCCCTCTTCCATAGCCAAACCCAATAGTTTTGCGAACGT